AAAAAACAATGTCTGTAATGTTGAACATTACAGTATTGATTATGTTTGTATTCTAAATTCAGTCTTTCGATGTTAATTTCTTATGTATCGATTACGTTATGTCTAGATAAACCAGAACATTTAATATTATAAAGTCACATTACAAGCATATGGAAATTTCACCAATGATATATAAAGTGCTATAGGAAATTATTTGCATTATAAACATGAACTCCTCGTTACCCTGTTTGAAATGGATCTTAAAAGGAGATGTCTATTTTCTAAAAAAACAACAACAAAAAAACACTAAAAATAAGTATATACAACTATTTCACAATAATTGCACAAAATGATTGCTGATGTAACAGTACATCATCATCTGCTGCTGCTGCTATACAATAAGCTGACAGACTGTCTAGCTCAATTATGTTTGTCCAACAGCTTTTTAGTACCATGAAAGAGATTAGAGGAGCAGAGCCAAGTTAATAAATAATTAGCATATACAGTTTTGATATCTCTATGTATTGCATTAATGGGAAACCACAAATCAGCTCTGAAAAACGCTATTGTGATTTTGTGCTTTTTGTTCTGCGTTTGCTATTAAAATGTGCAAAAAACAGCACAGACGAATTGTCAAAAGTTCTATGTGGGCAAAATATTCACAAAACACTTTACTAAAAATGCACTTTCCAACCTATTTGATTACGCTTGATCAAACATCATTGCAACTACAAAGTTCATGCATTTAAGAATCACTTTCAAAATGGAATGGGAGAAGTAGATTAGAAGGAAGGAGAAGTAGATTAGATGTTCTGCAGATGCAGTTTGGAGCGATTTCCACCAAAACATCGATTTCCATCTAATGGGTTTTTTGTCACAGCAGTCGTGACTCCAAGGAAATTAAATCGTATCGTTGCCTTGCTTGAAATACACATGCTCCCAAACCACCGGTTCCCAAATGCAGAAGAAGCTCCAGAGATTGCGCAGGATTCCACGGTCAAAAGGGTTTTCGTCCGCACCGCAGTGCTTGAGGTAAGAGATTCTGTGTCGAGACATGAACTCCCATGTGGTGGTATTCAGGGACACCAGGTACAGGTGAGAGCCCAGGAGGAGAAGCACGGTCAGGGACAGGACAACCACCGCCGCCGCTGCTCCCAGGAGCACACCGTTAGTCCTCAACCACAGCTGCCAGGTGGGAGCGTGACTGAAGCCGGACCTGTACGAGATTTAACAGTACACTGAACTGTGAGTCCAGATGAAAGATATTTGTTTCTGAGGGCTTTAATCTTGTTGAAATGGTTTGAGAACACCTTTTAGAGTTGGGAACTAATACATTTAGGACTATTATGTCCATTGGCACTGCTGGACATCCCAGGTTATGATGTGTAAGTATTACTACTCACCAGGCCATGTACAGTCCCCACAGTAAGACAACAAGCTGGACAGCCAGATAAAGCACAAACCAGCGGTGGTTTCTCTCCCCGATGCAGTTCTCTATCCAGGGGCAGTGATGATCATAGCGCCGCACACAGTGCTGACAGGTCTGGCAGTGTTTGGATCTCATGGGTTGCTATGTCAAAGTGTGGATTCAGTTTTAGAAGGGATTCATTATTACAAACGAACAAACTAAGCTGTCTTGCCTGTACATGAATATATCAAGGTCAAATTAAATGATTTAAACCTCTATATTTATGCATATAGTCCATCTTTAGTAAGTGACAGCGCACCTGTACCAGACAGTGTCCGCAGCGCCGCAGCCGTATGGACTTGGTGGTCTGTGGAATCATATCCTGCGTTTCTTCTGCGATACCAAGTGTGAACTGAAATACAGTCAGATGATGCATGTTTGCTGTAAAATCAGCGTTAAACTTGCAAACTGAAGGGGTTTGTGAGCTGATAAAGCTAATAATCAAATCATAAAAATGGGGAAAATAAATGATATATACATTATATATATAATAAATAATTCATATATAAATAAATATATATATTACTTTGATCAAAAATAATCTTACAAAATGGAATTACTTTGGGTATGCAAGATCAGTGTTGTCACCTTTGTGTACTCCATTTCGGCGAAATGTGACTAGTTGAGCTGTCCTCAGTTTAATGCTTTTGTTTGTTTGTTTGTCTTTTTCTGTTCTGCGCCCCAGAACATTTCCCTCCTCTATTCATTTTTGTTTAGGATATGATTGTGTCTGTGACAATGTTGAAGGGTGAACTCATTTAAAACGTTAAACAAATGTTAAACAAACAAACAAAAAACTTCTTTCTCCTTTGATTATTTTTAACCAATAAACGTTTGATTATTTATTTTATTAAAGAAGATTTTCATGGAATGATTGCGGCAAAATGTAAGAACGTAAGAGCCCTTGAACAGATCTTATAATAGTAATAAAAAAAAAAACGAATGAATGTGTTATGCTATTTTCTTTTCTTTAAGTAGGTGTGCATTAATTGGTGATTTGCCAAGCTTAGGTTATCATTTTTCTTTCTGCAGCACAATTTTTGTTTGGAAGCATGAAACAGTACATTTTCATCAGTTATTTTATCAGTCATTAAATCAGATACAGATAGAAGCTCCTCTCCTCACTCCACTCTCATTGCACTCCGATCCCATTACTCTGCTTTAAGGTGGCAAAGCTCTTTTTTTAGGGTGGCAGTTGCCTCCCCCTGCCACA